GAATTTAACAACAACATTAATCTCAGAAAGCCCACAAACTCTCAGAAATTAAACAGTGCTCATTTGAACCACCCCTAGGTCAAGAAAGAATAAAGAAATTAAAGACTTCCTACAATTCAACAAAAATGAAAGCACAACATATCCAAACCTATGGGACACTATGAAAGCAGTGATTAGAGGAAAGTTCATAGTACTAAATGCCTAAATAAAAAAAGCGGAGAAAGCTCATATTAGTAAATGACAGGAAATAATCAAATTTAGGGCTAAATAGAAACAAAGAAAACAATCCAAAGGATCAATGAAACAAAGAGCTGGTTCTTTGAGAAAAGCAACAAGATAGACAGACTCTTATCCAAACTAATCAAAAGGCAGTGAGAAAACATTCAAATTAACAAAATCAGATATGAAAAGAGAGAAATAACATCAAACACTGAGGAAATCCAGAGAATCATTAGGTCATACTATGGAAACCTGTACTCCAAAAGCAACAAAAAAAAGGAAGATGTAAAAGAAATGGACAATTTTGGATAGGTACCACATACCAAAATTAAATCAAGACAAGGTGAACAATTTAAATAGATATATTTGAAGAAATTGAAACAGACATCAGAAGTGACCCAACCAAAATAAGCCAAGGGTCAGATGGTTTCAGTACATAATTCTACCAGAACTTCAACTGAAGAATGAATAAAAAAAAATGCTGTGGTACACTTACACAATGGAATACTACTCAGCAGTAAAAAAATAATGACAACTTGAAATTTACAAATGGATAGATCTAAAAAACATCATATTGGGTGAGGTAACCCAGACCCAGACAGACAAATATCATATGTACTCACTTATAAGTGGCTTTTAGACATAAAGCAAAGAAAACCAGCCTATAATTCATAATCTCAGAGAACCTAGACAGCAAAGAGGACCCTCTGAGAGACATATAGAGATCTAATTTACATGGAAAGTAGAAAGAGACAAGATCTCCTGAGTAAATTGGGAACATAGAAACCATGGGAGAAGGGCAGAGAAAAATATATAGCTCAATAAAAACAACACAAAATAAAATAAAATAAAATTTAAAATGGTATACAGATCTAAACAGAGATTCTCAACAGAAGAATCTCAAATGACTGAAAGAAACTTAAGGAAATGTTGAACCTTCTTAGCCATCAGGGAAATGCAAATCAAAATGACTCTGAGATACTGTTTTAAACCTGTCAGAATGGCTAAGATCAAAGACATCAATGATAGCTTATGTTAGAGAGGATGCAGAATAAGAAGAACACTCCTCCATTGCTGCTGGAAATGCAAACTTGTACAAGCAGTCTGGAAATCAATATGGCAGTTTCTCAGAAAATTGAGAATCAACCTGCTGCATGACCTAGCAATATCACTCTTGGGCATTTACCCAAAGGATGCTCTGTTCAACTATGTTCATAGCAGCACTATTCATGACGGCCAGAACCTAGAAACAACATAGATGCCCCTCAACTGAAGAATGAATAAAGAAAATGTGGTACACTTACACAATGGTGAAACCAAAACAAAGCAAAACAATGGAGTACTGCTCAGTGGTTAAAAAAAAAAAAACAAAGCAAAACAAAAATAAACCCCATGACATCTTGAAATTTGCATGCGAATGGCTAGAACTAGAAAAAAACACCCTGAGTGAGGTAACCCAGACCCAGAAAGATGAGCATGCTATGTACCAACTCACAGGTGAATACAAGTTGTAAAGCAAAGGATAAAGAGCTTATAATCCATGCCCCCAGAAAAGCTAAGTAAAAAGGAGAACCCTAAGGGAAACATACATAGATTCCCCTGGGAAGAGGAAATAGGCAAGATCGCCTGACAAAATTGGAAGCATGGGAATTGGGGGAGAAAGGAAGGTAGAAGGAGAAGAGGAGAGAAGGTGAGGGGGAGGAGAACTCGAGGTAAAGGGGTGGTAGAGATGGGAGAAGGACAGAGAGGGAGACCAAGGAGATATTTTGATTGAGGGAGCCATTATGGGGCTAGCAAGAAACCTAGTACTAAAGAAATTCCCAGGAAACCACAAGGATGACCCCAGCTAAGACCCTAAGCAATAGTGGAGAGGATGCCAGAACTGGCCTTGCCCTGTAGTCAGATTGAGGTCTATCTTAAATGTCGTCATAGAATCTTCATCAGCAACTGATGGAAACAAATGCAGAGACCCACAGCAGAGCACTGAACTGAGTTCCCAAAATCTAGATGAAGACTAGTATTTGGGAGTATTGAGAATATGAGCAACTCTTTTAATTTAATTTGGTGATACCCACTGAAAAAGCTTACCTGAGCTAATGGTAGCCTACAAACTTCAGCCTAACAGGAGGGAACCAGCATAGGACCAAACTAGGCCCTCTGAATGTGGGTGACAGTTGTAAGGGTGATGCAGACTGTGGGTCCCCTGGCAGTGAGCCCAAGCTTTATCCATTTTGCTTGTTCTCGTTTTTTGGAACCCATTATCTTTGGAGTGATCCCTTGCTCATCCTAGATTTAGTGAAGAAGTCCTTCATAGCAATGTGCTAGACTTTTTTACTCCCCATGGGAAACCTTACCTTCTCTGAGGAGTGGAGGGGGCTGGAATGGGGGGATAGCATAGGGCAAAGTGGAGGGAGAGGGAGGAGGAGAGGAAGTGGAAATTGGATTTGGCATGTAAAATGAGAAAAGATAGTTATTTAAAAAAATTAAATTGAAAGAAAAGGAAGAAAAGAAAATGGCAAAGTGAAACCAACTGTTTTAAATAACTAATATATGCTGACTTTATAAAATGAGTAATAAAAGTCTTTCTATAACTATATTGCCTATAAAGCTTGTTCTAAAAGAATATGAAATACAACTAGTTAGGTTAGTAGTATAATAACAAATAACATCCAGTATTTAGGTCAGGGATTATCTTTCAGCTTTGTTGGCACCATGATCCTCATCATCATCTTCACCACCATTGTTTTTGCAATCACTGTTATTATTGCCATCATGTTCATCATTACCATCCCACATCAACATAATCAACATTGTCATCACTGCTATCAACATCATTATCAACACCATTATTATAATAATATAACCACTATAATCGATGCTTTCATCAAAACTACCACCACCATTACCACTAATACTATCAGCACTAACACCATTATTAACACCACCAATACAATCATTGTAACCATCACCATTACTATCATTTTTATCACCACCACCATCACTAAACATGTTCATCCTACGACAATCACTATTACTCATACTGTCTTCATCAATATAATCATTAACACCATCACTACCAACTCCATCATCTCTGTCTTTAACACCACCATCAGTAGATTCACCACCACCACCATTATTAACACTATCACTACCAACTCCATCATCTTCATCACCAATATCATCATCAATATCACCACCATTAACAGGATCATCACCCTCATCATTAACACAGCCACCACTAATACCATCATCATTATCATCACTATCATTCAACACTGTTTCACTATTATCAATCCTATCATCAGCATCACCAATATCACCATTGTAGCTATCATTAGCACCATCAAAATACCATTATCATTATCAGCACTAGCTTAGTATTAATTATCACATCATTACTATCACAATATTAACACTTTTAATACCACCACCATCACGACCACCATCATCATTACCATCATCAGCATGATTACTGCCATCAACACTGTGAATAACACCATCACTATTAACACTATGTGCTGTGAGACAATGCTCTGTACCCTGTCACTTGTATTTTAAATAAACGCTGACTGGCCAGCAGCTAGGTAGGAAGTATAGGCTGGGTGACCAGGCAGGAAGTAGAGGCGGGGCAAAGAGAACAAGAGAATTCTGGAAAGAGGAAAAGTCAGTCTGCAGTCATCATCCAGATAGAGAGGAAGCCAGACACTGAGCAAGAAAGATGTGACTGCCTCACCGAGAAAGGTACCAAGTTATGTGGCTAACATAGACAAGTATTATGGGCTAATATAAGTTGTAAGAGCTAATAAGAAGGCTGGAGAGATGGCTCAGTGGTTAAGAGCATTGCCTGCTCTTCCAAAGGTCCTGAGTTCAATTCCCGGCAACCACATGGTGGTTCACGACCATCTGTAAGGAGGTCTGGTGCCCTCTTCTGGCCTGCAGACACGCACACAAACAGAATATTGTATTCATAATAAATAAATATTTTTTAAAAAAGAGTTAATAAGAAGCCTGAGCTAATAGGCCAATCAGTTTATAATTGATTTCGACCTCTGTGTGATTTCTTTGGGACTGAACAGCTGTGGGAACTGGGCAGAACAGTGACCTCAGTCAACAACTATGAACACCAACATCAACACTATCGAAATTGCCATAAAACTATAAATTCTGAGGGCACATACTTTTTGTGATTAGCCATATGCCTCCTAGTGTCTGGCACAGGTTAGGTGGTCAATAAAGGTTAGTTGATGAAATTGCTAGATCTACTATGACATCTCATCTTTCAGTGCATAATATTAGAAGTAGTGGTGTGTCTCCCAGTGTCTGGCACAGGTTAGGTGGTCAATAAAGGTTGTTAGTTGATGAAATTGCTGGATTTACTATGATATCCCATCTTTCAGTACCTAATATTAGAAACATTGACACTTTCAAGCTCCTTCTAAGATAGGTGTCACATACTGGTACATACCTGTGGTTCTGGGGAAGGAGTGATCTCCAGAGGTTCCCAGGTTTGTTGTAGTAGTCCCAGGAGCTAAAAAGAAACCATCATTAGTGGAAAAGCAAGGCACTCTCATAGTAGAAATGCCAGAAAAGAGAGAGGATTTATGTAAATTTTTTCACACCAGGCTTGAACTGAGACTGTCTTGGAAGTGCGGACAGAGAAGGAAGTCAATAACTGCCCTCCCAGATCCCTTGCTCCAGTCAAATGGGGGCATTAGGAGGGGTCAGCTTCTGCTTTGCTTGGTGTGGGATTGGAGTCACTGGAACATCTGTTGAATACTCACTGCTGCTGATAAGTGCAGAGCTCTGATGGGTGAAACCTGCAGTAACAACAGAGGATAAGAGAGGGTCCGGGTTGAGAGAGAGAAATGTACTCCTGTGGTTTGCATTCACAGTCCCTGGGACTCAAACAATCATTCCCAAGCTGGTAGCACAGCTTTGGGAGGCTGCAAAATCTCAGGGACATGGAAGCTTGTTGGTGGTCATAAATCATCAATGGTGGCCTTTTAAAGACATAACAACACTGGGTTCTGGTTTAGAATCTGTGCTTTCTGATCTGTAACAAGCAGCACTGTGAGCTGCTGTGGAGGAACTGTTTCAAAAACCATAAATTCCCTCCATGATGGATTGTCCCTTATAAAGCAATGAGCCAAAATAAATCTATCTTTACTTAAGTTGTTCCTGTCAGGCATCTGTAATGAGAAAAGTAACTGACACAAGTACCAGAGAGAATTAAGGATACATAATGGATTGGGATTCATGAAGTGAGGCAATCAGAGACTCACTATCAGGTAAGGGTGAGGTCAGTTCACACCGAGGAACAAATGAGATCCCAGTTTGAGCCAGCACCTATTGAGCACTTGGCTAAGCCCTTAAGAGCCAGGCAGGGAGGGTGACCAAAGCTGGAGAGTAGATACTGCCTATCTAAGAAGAAACTCCAGCCACATCCAGATGCTTACCATTAACGTAGAGGCTGTCCCTATCCAGGGTGTAGGGATCCAGTCTGGTGACACCATGAGTTAACCCATTCAGCTCCCAGTATAGCTGCTCCCTGTCCAATCTGTAGCCTTTGGGGTCAGGGTGATATGTGCAGATGGCATCCACTGTGATGGCCATTTTGTCTTTCTTAGACCTGGGTAAGTATAGAGCATAGTTGGGGTAGCTCTGCCTCCTACTCTTTGTTCTTTCTTCTCTCTTTCTGACAGCTCCTTGTAGTAGGAGGCCCAACTACAGCTCCTAACTCAAAACAATTAGGAAATTCTAACAAGGAAGTTGCCTTGGGGAAAATAAATACCATAATCAATAGCTAGGAACACAAGGACAGTCATCTTTGTATGTTGCAGAGGAAGCCTCTTCAAATGTGTGACAGACAAAAAGAGGGTAGTACTGATAGGGGTTAGAAATCCACATGATAGCTATCCATAGGATAACTGAGCTTGTCACTGGTTCTGACAGACATGAGGTTCTGAGAGCCAAGCTTCTAATGAGCAGAAGTGGCCTCAGAAGAGATGGTCGTAACATTGTACTTTAGAGATCTAGCATTCAGAAGGCTAAAGTTAGTTACCTCAGGTACTAGGTACACTAGGGCTGGAGATTTCTAAGGGGAATCATAGCTCGTATATTATTGGGAAGAGATGCCTGTTTTTGGATCTGTCTAACATTAGAAAGCCTTAATGTTTTACACACACACACACACACACACACACACAATTAGAGAAGGAACCCAACCTCACATTGGCAGATTCCAAGCATGTACTATATACTTCCTCTATATTCTAGTCCCTCTTTGGTGAATTCTAAGCAGGAATTCTCTCACTGAGCAACATCTCCATTCTTCCCTTTTTAAAATTTGTTATATATATATGACAAAGTGTCAGTGAGTTTTATCAGCGGGCTGGGCTTGAACTTGCTAACTTGCTGCCTCTGAGGCTGTTTCCTGTGCTGTTTCATAAGGCTAAAATAATCTCTTGAATAGTCGGGATGACAGATCTGCCCCATCATCATGGAATTGTTAAGATTTCATAGTCAGACTGTGGTGATTGTAAATACAGCCAAACAGTCGGGAAGCCCGCTGCTCAGTTCTATCCACCCATTCGGCTGAGTTTGCAGTGGGGATGGACCTACCTGAGTGACACTAGTGTGCAGCCTGCATAGAGGGATCCCAGACTGCTGGTCTTGAACAGGGATTTGAGCTGTGAGAAAGGAGAGGGGAAATAAGAACGAACCACAGAGCAAAGCCAGAAAGAGCTGTGACCCAGGTGACAGGAGCATGGTCAGAGAAAGTTGGGCCTAAGATGCAATGGGCCCCTCACCAGCTGCTGTAGGACTCTCTCCAGAGTGTTGAAATTCTTAGAGCCATGGTATAGCATGTCTTCCTTGAACTCCAGGTTAGTGATGGTGAAGTTGAGCGTGAACTGTGCAAAAACAGGAGGGGCCCCTGCAATGAGAGCAGAGAAAGAGTCACATGTAGGATACACTTGGTTTTACAGCTAAGAAATCTTCTGAGGATCAAGACGGGAAGTTTGAAACAAGAAATCAGATCATGGGACCTAGGACAGGAAGACCAGAAGCTTCATTAAGAAACATGGTACACATTGGTCATATTTAGCAACTATGTTGCTTTTTCACTTTCAAATAGGTAGAGATTTAGGAGCACAGTTCTCAAGAGTGCCAAATGTTGATGCAAAGGAAGGCTTTGAGATGGTGAAAGTCCAATGCTGAGATGAACTTCTAACTGTATAAATACAAACAGAGCAACTGAACTCTGGCAGAGTGTGTCACAGACACAGGAGAAAGTACTTGTGTGAGTGTGAGCCAGGCTAACTGACTAGGAATTGAGGTTCAACCCTTACAAGCTCCCATCAAAGGCTAAAAAACCAAACTCAGAGAAGTTTCATGGTTTGGAGAAACAGAACAGGAAAAGCTGGTAATTGAAGCAGATTCAATATTTAACAAACATTTTGAACATCAACCTAACTGCATCCCTTAGGGAAGCCTTCTCTCACAAGTTCAAACACGTCATTCCCAGAACTTGTCCTTTGGTGAATACTGAACCCTCTATATCTATGAAACTGGAATCATTGACTTCCTAGAAGGAGTAGCAGAGAGAAGCAACCTACCTGTGGAGAGGTTAGGTTGTGCAGTAGAGGTTCCTGTGAAATTCCGAGACGACGTCACAGGAGCTGAGGAGAAATGGATTAGAATAAAAAATGATATTTGAGGTAATGCATGAATGTCACAAGAGAGCATCTTTGCTCTCCAAATCAGGCCATAATTATATATGGTAGTGTGAGTGACAGTCCAGCCTTTAATTTATTTTTTTCTTCTCTATGACCTTGGATTCAGTAAGACCTGGATCAGCTACTGCTCCCTCGGGGTGTAGTGAGCACAATCATCAGACTTTTAAATACTCACTGTTGGAAGTGGGAGCAGAGGTTCGATGGGTAAAATCTACAATGAGAAAAGGAGAGAATCATGATGCAAGGACAGAAATATGTATGCTATAGCTGAGGTCCATCAGCCCCATTTCCAGCTGAGATTTCAGGTCTGTACAGTGGAGCACTTAGAATTCAGGTGTTATTGGCTGAACAGTGGTAGCAAATGCCTTTATTCCCAGCACTCCAGGAGCAGAGACAGGAGACTCTCTATGAATTCCAGGTCAGCTTGATCTATAGAGTGAGTTCCTGAACAGCCATGGCTACACAGAGAAATGAGAAACCCTGTCTCAAAACAAACAAACAAACAACCCCCCCAAAACAAAGAACAAAGATAAATCTAGGTTTCATCAAGAGAACCATCACTGTTCTCATGGATTTACAATTTAAACACATCCCAATTTCTACCACATATATTTGTAAGATGTTATTTTTTCGAAGTCCATACTGAAGAAGATGAAAGATTCAACTTCTTGTTTTTGTTTTGCTGGAGACAGAATCGTTGTTTTATCTGAGATAAAGTTGTAGTCTGGAACCCAGGCAGGCCTTGAATTCTGGATGTAACCCAGGCTGAGCACAAACTTGCAGAAAACCTCCCATCTCACCTTTTAAGTGCTGATTGCAAACAGGGGCCACCTCACCTGGTAAATGCTTCTTTTGCTTCTTCTCCTTCCCTTCCCTATTCATTGCCCTTCTCCCCTTCTTCCTTACAGTACTAGAACTCAAACCATGACCCTGAACATACCAGGCATACTCAAGGCTTACAGGAGTGAGCCACCACTCCCAGCTCAGTATAAAGTTTTAAAATGAAAGCCTCTAATGGAAGTAGAGCTCAGAGAATATGGCCTGATGCATAGCAAGCATGGTAGAGAAGTTTTAGCTCTGCATAGATATAACATAGATAGATACAGATTACATACCTCTAACCCCAGTGCTCAGGAGAGGCTGAAGCAGGAGACTCAACAGTTTGAGGAAAGACTGGGTTACATGTTTAATTCTAGGACAGTCTCAGTCACATAGCAAGACTTACCTCAAAGTAAAACAAAACAAAGCAAAACAAAACAATAAACACCCCTAGAGTTGAACCGCTACTGAACGACAATAGGCTTCAGTCAGATGTGGTCTTTGATAGGGATAGAGGAAAGCTTCTGTAGGTTAGAATCTTGTTCAAATAATGCCTTTGTAATGCAGTGACACAGAGAAAAGAGAATGACTTGAAGAGTCCAAGTTTGTGTGCCAGCCGCATATTGTCGCTCAGGTTGACGATACATATAGGAAGGGTTTTGTGACCAATCAGAGAGCCCACTTATCTTAGGGTAACACTCTCATCTTTAGCTTATGGATCGTAAGAAGATGCTTACCATTGATGTACAGACTGTCCTTTTCTAGAGTGAAGGATCCTAGCTTGGTAACACCCTGGGTATTATGGCTCACTTCCCAGTACAGCTTCTCTCTGTCCAGCTTAAGGCCCATGGGATCAGAATGGTAAGTGCAGACAGTATCCACTCCAGTGGCTGTTCTATCTCTCTCAGGCCTGGGAAAGGAAAGGAGACAGAGAGATGGAGATGAAAACTCCAAGCTGAGGCTCAGAAAACCTTCAGTGAGGGAGAAGAAAAGTGGCACTACTGATGAACAATTAATGGCTGTAGTCCCAGAAGAATACAATTAATAACAGAGCCAAGGTCCTTGAACAAAATACAGAACTAAACATGCCAGTATTTGTGCTATCTTTTTACATGACATCTATAACATGACTCCCATGCCCGAGTAACAGAACTGTGACAATGGAGGTGGGAAAAGAAGTCTGAAAACAAGGTAATAGAAAGCAATTTCAATTGGCTTAACTCCTATTCAGCCATTGCACAATGCCAGATATGTTTCTCCACATCTCTAAGGCTTATTTTTGTGTGTGGAATAAATCAAGACTTTCAGAACTGTGATGCTTAGTTTTAAATGTCAATATGCCACAAGCCGGAATTGCCTGGGAAAAGTCTTAATGAGGAATTAACTGGGTCAGGTCAGTTTGTCACAAAGCCTGTGAGAAATGATCTTGTTTGTTAATTGATGTAGGAAGATCCAGGAACCAATCTTGAGCTTGTAGGAGTGAAGAAGACTAGCAAGCAGCCAGCAGACAGATGAGTGTATTAAATTTTCTCTATTTTTCACTGTGGGTATGATGTGACCAGTTGTCACAAGCCTTTTACACTCTAACTTTTACACACGATGGACTGTAGTCTAGAACTGTAAACCAAATAAACATTTCTGTATGTATATTGCTTTTTTGTCAGAGTATTTTACTACAGTAACATAATGAAATTATAAGAAAACCTAGCAGGGAGTGCTCAATAAAATGGTACATCATTGTCTCCTGAAAGAAAATGGAGTCTTATCTTTTTCAGTCGGAAATGGAAAGGACTGGAGAGGAGTTGGATGTCACCTCCTCCTAGAACACCAGGATCAGGAAGTTAGGAATCAGTTCATGGTTATTGTATACATGCCCTGCATATCTACTCTCAAGTACATACCTCAGTAAGGTCAGTCTGCAACCAGAATAAAGGGACCCAATACTGGTGTTCTTGAACAGGGGCTTGAGCTGTGGACAAAAGGGAAGATGATTTAAGGGGCCAAGGAGTACAAAATTGAAATGAGACAGGGTGAGTGTGAGGGAGTTCTGACCAATCGATTCAAGATCCTCTCTGTGCTGTTGAATATTTTCGATCCTCGGTATCTCATGCCCTCTGCATGGTGAAGATTGGTTATAGTGAAGTTAAGAGTGAAGAGTTCCAGAGATGGGCTTGTACCTGTAGCAGAAAAGAGAAAGTGGGGAGTCTAATATGCACTGGAACCCAGGACAGCTATAGTCGAAGGGATGCTTGCATTTAGGGGCCCTGTAACCAGTATTCAAAATTGTCTCATCATACAAAACCAAAACACTAAATAACTAAACAACTCCCATTTGTTTTTCCCTAACCTGTAGCAACCACTATGAATTTTATATGAATATGAATTTTACTATTTTATATCTTTCATGAGGAAAATCATACAGCATTTCTCTTTTTGTGAGGATATTCTCAATATTATCTATGTTAAATGTGAGAATTTCTTTCTTTTTAGGGCTTATAATATCTGACTTGATGAATACATTGTTTTTATCCATTAATCTGCTCACATGTACTTGGGCTATCTATATATTTTGTCTAGATCTGACAACATGGGTGTGGAACATATGGAAATAAATATTGTAAATTTCTCTTTTATGGAGCTGATTCTAGGGAAGGGGGTCCTGGAGATACTGGGGCATCAGTTTTGACTGAGTACTCACTGTTTGTGGGAGGGGTCCAGTACCGACGGTTATAACCTGTAGATAGAAAAGAAAGAGTAATGAAAAAGTACATTTATGTAAGCACTAAGAGACGAAAAGAGGGTAGGCCTAGAAGGTGAAGTCATTATGTAACAGTCTGAGATTTATATATAAATCTTACTTAGCCCTCATTATGTGCTTTATCTTGTGATAATATTCATGATAAACATCATCACCATTAATTTTACTAAAACAGTATATAATAATAAAGCTGACAAGATTGTTCATTAGATAAAAGTACTTGGCACCAATCCTGACCATCCGAATTTGAACCTACACGGTAGAAGGAGAGAACTCATCTCTGGTAGTGTTCCTTTAACTTCAATATGTATATCAGCTTATGCATGTACACACACAAATACATAGTTAAATAAATATAATTTTATCTAAAAAATCAGGGTATGACACAGTTATTATAAATACAATCTTACAGCAGTGTGGCTACCTGCACTGGACCTGTCTACACCAAACACGAATTAAGAAATTCATGAAGTCCTTCTCATCACTGATGAACTTTTGGCATCTGATAAATTCTGGGAGAGGAATGGTCTCCACCAGTCTCCAATGTATAGTCCCAAACCTGGGGCTGCATATATGGTCCTGATTAAAATTAGTGGATCACAAAACAAAACAAAAAAGACATGAATGTGCAAAAGGGACCTGTAAGGAGGAGGAAGTCAGGAAGAGTGGAATGGAAGTAGGAGAGTAGAGGACTAGAGTAAACACAATGCATCTATATATTTCTGAAATTGTTCAAGGAAAAATTTAATAAATGAAAACAAAATGAAAAATAATTTTGAAATTAAAAACATATGCACTAATGATAGATGCCTATGTTTTGATGAGGCTATACTACGCCACAGCAATATTTCATACATTGCAAAGGTAAAAATATATTTATGAAAGAGTGTGTGCCCTAAGTTGATAAAATTGTAGTATGTTGTGGGAGAGTTACATGGGGATGCAAACAGAGAGATTGAGAGTTGTGAAGATAGCTCAGTAGAAAAGTGGTTGCTGTAAGTCCTGGATACCTTTAACTGTCAACTTGATACAATCTAGAATAGTCTTGGAAGTGAATGACAACTGAGGAATTACCTAGGTCAGATTGACCTGTGGGTATGTCTACTGGGGATTGTCTTAATCAATTGATACAAGAAGATGCACCCCACTGTGGGCAGCCACATCCCAGGCAAGTGGTAGTACTGGGCTGTGTAAGAAACCTAGTTAAGTATAAGACTGAATGTCAGCTGGCAACAAACATCTTTCATATTTTCTACTGCACTTCATTGGCTATAAAGTAGGCTTTCTGGTTAGAGACAGGATGCTCACAGGAATATCTCATACAGGGATATCCCTTAACCTGGATATTTGTGCAAAGTATGCAAGTTACCTGCCTCTGAGCTTCATCCCAGAAAGAAAAGGATACCAAGAAAAAAAAATGTTTCTATAACTATTTTTATGGTGGAGGTGTGTGAAAAAGGAGATAAGAAGAGAAGGAGGAGGAGGAGGAAGAGGAGTAGGAGTAGAAGGAGGAGGAGTAGGAGGAGGAGGAGGAGGAGGAGGAAGGGGAAATGAGAGAAGAAAAAGAAACAGGAAGAATAAAAGAAGGAGGCCCGACTTTAATTTCTCCCTTGATTTCTCTCAGGGATGGAATGTGATCTGGAATTCGAAAACAGATAGATTCTTTCTTCTCTAGAATTGCTTCTAGTTATGGTATTCAACAGTTACAGAAATGAAACTAGATCATACAAGTTTGAGGACTGAAGTTCATGTGCCTAGATCCTACATAAAAGCTCAGCATGTAGCCTGAGTGTCTCTAAACTCAGTATTGTATAGTGAGATTATAGTGAGATAGAGAGTAGAGACAAGAGAACTCAAGTAGTTCATCGGTCAACTATCCTGAAGTATATATGGTGGATAACAAAGATTCCATGTCTCAAACAAGGTAGTATGCAAGGGCTTGTATTTTGATAATTTCTTCTGACTTCCACACATGTGCTGTGAAACACACAAATACACAAACATACACATACATGCAGTGTGTGTGTGAGTGTGTGTGTGTGTGTGTGTGTGAGAGAGAGAGAGAGAGAGAGAGAGAGAGAGAGAGAGATGGAGAGAGAGAGAGAGAGAGAGAGAGAGAGAGAGAGAGAAATTTTCCATTACTATTTCCCTGGAGCATAAAGAAGATATGGAGGGGAGGGATGAGAGGGAGAAGGAAGAGGAGCAAGAAGAAAGAAGAAGTGAGGAGGCTATGAAGAGAACTTTCCAAGACTACTTTCTGGATCATTGATTCTATTTCTGATATTCTATCTAAAAGCTGAAAATACACATCAGATCTAGACAAAGCTCCAAGAAATTCCAGTTTTTTCTCTTATCTCATTTGACTTCCTAAGTAATCATACATCTATCTTTTCTTTTTTTTTTTTTTTTTTTTTTTTTTTTTTTTTTTTGCATTTTCTTGAATATCCATTCAAGTTTCAATTTATTTTTTCCTTTTCAAGTAAAGATCCTGTGTTTTGAAGTTCTGGTAGTAAGGACTTGCTCTTCCTGCTGGGGTCACTGAGGAAGTTATGCACTTAGTCAGCGGTCACTCATGGCCCCTCAGTGGCTAAAATTCCAGTATGTTGAGTAGAATTCATCTTCTGTCTTCTTGAATTATATCATGTTTCTTAGCAGCTGGTTCTAAATACAGTGGTTAAATTTTCAAGATCTTCACATTTTAAATGCAGTTCTGTCAGCAGGGTGGCTATAAACTGTGTAAATACCACATTTTTCGGAGAATGCTTCTGAATGCCAAGAATTGGCGTCAATAATGTCAGCAACACCACAGCGATCAAAGTCCATTCCACGGGCTTGTGGATAATGTTTCGGTTTGATAATCTGAAAGTCTGAACAAGGCTTTTCAGTTCCGAGTAAATATCGCCTATTGTAATCTGAAGAGGACCCAAAAGTCCAGGCAATACTTTGCTCAATTTTTCAAGAACAATCCGTCTTCTAATCTGGTTCTGGGAACTTGAATCAATCAGTGGGAAGCTGGTATCACGCTGAAATCCATTCTCTCCTGGGTCCTGCGACTTGGTAGTTTCCTCATTTAAAACATAGCGTCCTCTGTAGAACTCCCTGACCCTCAGATTAAGCATTTCCGTTTCTTTTTTCAAGTTCTCGTAACTGGGCAGTGGCTTCGTGGCCGTGTCTGAGCCTCTAAAGGGTAGTGTCTCATCTAAGTTGTTCTGGGGTTGGCTCACGGCAGGACCACAACTAGCTGGGTCACAACTTAAGTCATCTTCATCGAGTTCTTCATCGGCTATGGGGGCTGAAGGCAGTTTCGGGCACACGGAGGCAAGATCTGGGCCATACAAAAACTTCAACGTTTCTTCTGTCTTCCACTCAGTCAAGGTGTCCTTCAGAACTCGAAGTAAGCTTGCCTTTGCGACCTCAGGACCCTGCCCTGGGCCAGAGGCTGGCCCAGACCCTTGGTTAGACTTGGCAAATTTGACCCTGAAATGCTCAGCACTCTTCTTGCTTATCCCTACAAGAGTGACTTCTGACACACTGTGTCTGCTGTCGGAAGCCGCTGAAGAGCCAGGTGAGGAAGTCTGCGTATTTTCTCTCTTGGAAGGAAGCTCACGGGCAGCCATTTTCTCCTGACCATCCAATCTGCAGTTACCCAGCCGCTCAGTGACATCGGCCACCGTCTGCTCTTTGTGCCTGGAGGTCACTTTCTGACCAGCTTTCTTCTTCCTTATGCTACTCTCCCTGTGTGGCTGTGGCCTCGTGTCGGCTGCCCTTGGTCCGTGTCCGGGGAGAAGCGAAGAGACGAAGTCTTGCTCATCGTCTGTGGTGTGATCACACCAAGCGCTGGGAGCTGTGGCTTCACTCTGGGCCTCACGGGCACCAGGACCATCAATGTCTGCTGGTGTGACGGCATCACTGAAGAACTGGACGACTTCTCCAGAGCGGCCACTTTGTCCTTCCTTCAGCAGCTGGAAGTCGGGGGGCCTCTCTTCCTCTCGAACCCATACTGGAGTTTTCAGAATTTGTGTTTCAAAAAACTTAGATGCTCTGTAACAAAAATTGCTGCAGAAAGACTTTCTTTCAGTAATATCGTAGACTTTATTGGTTTTAGTAGAAATTTTATATTTCTGTTTCGGTATTGCTCCTAACTTCTTCTGACATAAAGGATAGCCACAGAGTTTGATAATGGCCCTCTCGTCCACGACGTCGCTGTAGTGAGCTGGTGTGATAAACATCCCACACTCCTTTAGGAATTCCTCTGTGATGTTTTCTTCCAGAAGCCGCTCGACGATGCGCACAGCCTTCCTCTCACACTCCACCTTCCTCTGCACTGCGGCTTCCAGTTCCGCTCGCCTTCTGGAAGCATCTTCTGGCTTGAGGACCCTTGTCTGTTTAGTGCCTGCAGCCTTCCGGTGGGTGCTGGAG